AGTATGTATGATCAGAGGTGCGAATCACAAATTCGCAATGCATTCTTCAGATGCTAGCTGTGACCTCTATTTCAGTGACCGACTTGGCTAGGGAGAATTTTTCCATGTCCATTTTTTACTGACAAATCCCACATCAAATATATTGGTACATAGCTTTGGATCCATCCAATCATTTTATAATAGACAATTAATGGGGAGAATACGGCATCAAAAATGTCAAACCCTTACACTCTAACTATAAAATATACCTGCCCCACGTCAGGAACCGTTAAATTAGTGCACTTACACTTATTTTATGTTTTTTAGCCAAAAAAAGGTCAAAAACATTTTTCGACTCGCTCCGCTCGGCGAAAGATTCTATTCTACGCCCCCTTTCAAAAATCCTGGATCCGCCCCTGTAATTTTACTTAATGATATACGCACAAAAGGGTGTAAGTAATAACATTAATATTTTGAGAAAAGGTTATTGTGCAGACCCCCTGGAACATTTGACAATCCCTGTTCAAATTATAAACTATAACACAGCAACACTTTATTAAAACACACATATTTGTGTATGGTTACATAATTTATTAATTTTTGCATTTTAGTCATAACATTTCCTGGATTCCCGGAGGAATAGCAAAGACCTTAAAAAGAGAATTGTTCAAAGTCATGAAAAGTAAAAAAAAAAATGAAATAAGATAATAAATTGAGAGTAGTGTGTTTGGAGTCTATTTCCCGACCTTCTACCTGCATTGTTTTATGGTGTAATTTGTTCTCGTCTGGATATATATTAAATGTTAACCGCTGGACGTTGAGCATCACGAAGAGAACCCCAATAGTAAAAGTTTTGGCATTTGTCATGGTTTATCATACACATTTAAAAAAAATACTTGATGATGATGGAAGTTTTTTACGACCTTGACTGGCTATACAGCACTCAATCTAATTAAAATATAGATCTCGGATTTCGTTATACTACGTTATACTACATACGAAGCTTCGTATGTAGTATAACGTAGTATAACGAAATCCGAGATCTATATTTTAATTAGATTGTACAGCACTCGCGCGGTCGGCAAGAATTACTTTATGCACTTTACACAAGAAATTATAAAGTCACAACTTTCCCAGAAAAAGTTAACCGAAGATGAAATTGCCTATTCGCTTAAAGTCTTTAGATCTCTTTGAATATATATAGCTCTCGTCATTTACATCATCTTTTGCTTTCACCGGACTTATATCTTATATCGAATGCTGCAAAATTGTTACGTTTTCGTTTCCGTGTCCAATGTAATAAAGGTGCCCCGGTGTTGGCCAAGAAACCTTTCTGTCATGATTCATCAGTACACACTATAATTTTTCCATGATTCCCTTGTCACCTACTGACAGCCATAATTATTTCCTAACCAGCACCAAAGTAACAAAGCTAGATCTACTCCGTTACCTCACACATATTTGGTTTCTTCTGGATGATATTAGTAGTAGTACGGATTTTTACACATGGTCAAACGTAAATTGAATGTGCCTTCAAAGTAACGGCTTCGTGTAATTGGATAATACTCCCCAAAGGGCCAGCTTGCCTTCTGTTCGTTATAAAGGATAACAAAGACACATTTGGTTTCTAGTTGGTTTGTAATATATATGTAACAAATTTGACAATACTTGTTCAGAACATCACGGAAAACATCTAAGCTATATTTGGTTTCCAATTATTGTTGGTTCTTTGGGACTCATATAAAATTACAGAAGTACCATTTGAGTGATATAGATATGAGTACGAGAAATCGTCTTTTTTTGTATGTGTGATAGTGTTAAATACCTTTTGTTTGTGTTTGGGAATTGATGATGGAGACTGACAATTAATGTAAAATGATGGAAAATCAAAATTTTGCGAAATTTTAATTTGTCTATTACTTTCCGACATGACTTTGACTTTTGAACAGCTTACCTCAAAATCAATAGTAGTCTTTTCAATGCAAGCCGTATTATCCACCAAAGATCAGTAAAGTTCTAATTTATAGCTTAAAAAATATAATGTCCAAAAACTAAAAGGTTCAACAATTTTACTCAATCTATAGGTGCTGTAACTTTGACAGTTGACCTTCTGCCCCCAAAATCGTGTTGCTGCTGTAACCCTGACCTTTGGCATGTCAACAGGAGTCTTTCACCTCAAAAACATTATGTACCAAAGATTTGATTTACAGCTCTAACAATATTGTCCAGAAACAAACTTTCCCAAAAATATCAGTTTATTTCCAGCCACTGATTTTGACATTTGACCTACAAACACAAATTTCAATAGGGGTCTTTTTTCTTTTATTCTTACGGCCATTTTCAAGCCAAGTTTTTTTGTCAAGGTTAGACATTGTTCCCAAGATGACATATGTTAACCAATTATTTTGACCTTATTTCAGTTCGACTAATTGCTCTTATGATCTTTTCCTTAACTTCGTAATCTCAAATTCAATAGGATCTTCTTCATCCTATGGACTTTCATCATACCAATAGAAAATATAGGATATGGGGTATCAATCTATGACACAAAATCAGTAAATGCTCAGAAAACACACAAAAAGCAAAGAAACAGCGAATTGCTATAAAATGGACTTATGGTTCAAGAGATAAAATTTTGCCCAAATTTCAGTCTATCAATAGCTGATGTGATGATGACCTTTCCCATCAAATCAATAGGAATCTCCTTCGCCCAATGAGGCATTATAAAACGAAGTTTGAACAAAAAATACTGTTTATATAACTCAGATTTTGTGCAAATATTGAAATGTTGATGTTCAGAAGGCATTTTTAATGTTGTAAGCTGTGTTCTGACTATGTCATGGCTCAGACAAAATCTTAAACATCTCCCGGCATTTACTTAGCAAGTAACCTGACCATTATATATGATCAAAACTGCCTCAGATGTTCACATTAAATGAAATGTTTCACAGGGCACAGCTTTATACTACCACAGAGGTCGAACTCTGAACAGTGGGGCAAGTATGGACACTGCATTCAAGCTTGATACATCTATGGATTTGGATTGTGATTAAATATTTGACACAGCATAGGTTTCTTACACAGAATGAATGTGGTCAAAGAACTGAAAAATTTGAAATTGGACTTTTACCTATTATGGTGCAATATCCAAAATCTTACACAAATAATTTAATAAATTTATTTATTAATGGACAATATTAGCTAAGTTTTTAAAATGCTTCATGAAGGAAATTAGTTTAAGCTTTGGTATAAAACCTTTTATCAAATTAATCAATAATTTTTTGGTGTTTGAATATTGCTCTGTTTTTAGTTTTCTATGTTGTGTTTTGTGTACTGTTGTTTGTCTGTTGGTCTTTTTCTTTTTTTAGCCATGGCGTTGTCAGTTTATTTTCTACTTACGAGTTTGAATGTCCCTTTGGTATCTTTCGCCTCTCTTTTGCTACAAGTGGGGTACAGATGGATGTGTATGGTAGTTGAGGTTTATTTGTCATCAGGTAATGATCAAAGTTTTTAAACATATCATGACTTTGGGTAACGGGAAAGGGGAGGAAATTTATTTTTCTTAACATTATTAAACTGTTAACATTTAAAAATTAATATTGATAATTTAGCAATTTTAGGACTGAATGTTGTAGTGGAAATAAAATGCAGAATAAAATTATATCTAAGTTAAAAGAATAACAGAATTATATTATAATGAACTGAAGATTTTTAATTTTTTTTTGCAAAATAGGATCATAATGTGGGATAAAATTGTGGCATGAAATTGGGCATGAATTGGTAATTGTGGTTTATGGGATTGTTATTCTAAGGGATGGTTGGGATGTTATTTTATTTAGATTTGTGCATTTGTGGTTAACAATTGTTCTGAAAATTAATATCAAAAGGTGACATTAATGTTTTGTGGTTTAGAGTGGATTATCATCAAATTGTGGTTTGAGTTATTTCCCTTTGAACAGAAATGTCAATATGGAGGAAATTGTTTTAATGTGTATGTGGGAAATGTTTAAATTATTATTGGAGCAGATTGATATGTTTGAATGAGAATGCTGATAATTTGATTATTTTGGTGATGCATCTATTTACTTATTTGAATTGCAGTAGACAATTGATGTGATGTTATGGAGGAGGTAATTTTTCATTGTTTATTGGTTTCATGTATGACTTTGATTGTAAGAATGTTATTTTGAATTATTTATTTAATAAAATTTGTATGGAACAAAATTATAAATACACAGTACGATTAAGCATATCAAAGAACCCCAATATTTCAAGATTATTTAAACCCAATTGAAATTCGTTAGAAATAAGAAATTCAAACAAAGTTTTAATAAACTGCTTTGCCTAGCACAGCTGGATACGACCGCACAGTTGGGGCAAAAATCGACACAATATTCAATTTTTAATTTCTTAAATCTTGAGGAAAAAAAACGAAAGTCTTCAGATGACGACAACGACATCACCATACCATTATACAACTGCAAGGTGGTATTAAAAATTTATTTGCCATATTTGATAGTTTATTTGCACCACAGTATCAAAACTGTGTCATTATGTAAATGTTAATTTCTGAACGTTCTATTCAATTTGTCCTGTTGTTTAAAAAGATTTAAATGTGAAAAGTTACAGATAAATAACTGAAAAAACATCAAAGGTGATGGCAAAAAGCGGCCTTTGGCCAGGTGAGCAGAAAATGATTAATACAAAATACTGAGAATGAGATAGTCAACTCTCAATGACAATTACTGTAAATTCAGAAATTATTGTGATTTTTGAAGAATGGACAAAAATGTGAGATTAATTATTGAGATTTAAAGAAAATCTGCAAACAGATATCCTTATCAGATATCAGAATGCGAGTTCTTATTATTGCAATAATCACCAAGCCACATTGATCGCATAAATAAAAACATCGCAATAATTCATGAATTTACAGTAGCTTCCGCTTGACTTCAAATGACCTATTCATTTTGAATCTTGTAATATAATGACAACTGGGAGCAAAATAACAAACAAGATACTGGGGTGTTAAAACATTTATTGTTGGATTACCAATATACAATTTGGTTTAATACAAGTTCTGTGAGGAGGTAGTGATATAAACAAAAGTAGGACTAAACTGGTGTAGAAAGACATTTAATGATGAGTTTTTACACTAGAAAGTATGAAATTACAATAGAAAAAAACAGCAAATATTGCGGACACTTTTTGCAGATGTATTTTGTTGCCACTGTCTATTGAATTGGTTTTGCTTATTAATATTTTTTTTTTACTAACAGACATAAAAATCTTCTGCAAAATCAGTATCTTACTTGTTATCTTTATCCAAAAAACAATCAGAATTGGACATTATAAAGACAGTCTAAGATATTGTCAATACTCATAAATAGAAGAAAAATAGCCTACATTTCAGCTGTAAATTAAGCAGATAAGTGAAATTACATGACTAATTGATATGTTAGGAATGCTAATAATAAACTTCTCATCAGAATTTATCTTTTACAGTGACATCAAAACAAAGAAACTGGATAAGATATATACTTGAGGTAGAATGGGAGTCTTTCCCCATCTTGGATCTCACTTGAGTGTAAATATTCATTCCAAATTTTTACTGAAATAAGTAAGATTTGATCCAGAGGATGGGTAGATAAATCAGCTAATTTGGTTCATATTAAAGTATGTACAGCAAATTTATTTATTTTATTATGCAGGAAAAAAATACTTCAGTAACCCAACAATTTCTTATTATTTCACAAAAGCATAAAACTATCTGCCCATTCTTTTATTTCAAAATTCTATCATGTAGTTTTCATTTTAGTCAAATGATAGTGATTTCTCATGTATAATCTACATAATATGAGAACTTTCAAGTCTGCAACTTGAAAATAGGCACAGTGACCTATACTTTTTTTAATTTTATTCTACTTTTGAAATAGTGTAATATAGACTTCATTTTGGCCAAATTCTGTGTTTTATGTTTATACTCCCATACTACAATAAGCTAACATTGGTAATATGACAAGACCTGTTTTAAAATTGTCATCAAGTAGTATTTCCTGTAACAGCAAGGGAAATTTGACTTGCTAAAATATTGCTTACAATACAATCTGTTTATTTGTCAACTATTGATTTTTACGAAAATTATAAAGGGTTGCTCACATGGTGTTGGACAAGAGATCCCCAGTTCTGAAAGTCATTGCTAAATCTTTGCAAAACAGAATAGCAATATCCCATAACATCAACAACAAGTGACTTCTCATTAAAATCTATATAAAGTTGAATATTCTAAGATATTTATCCACTACTCATTTTCAAAAAATAAATTTGTCTACATATACCATGCAAGATAAATTCTGCGGTTGGAAACATTTGACCACAGAATTATATAACATAGCCATAAATCATAAAAACGTCCACTGAATAACATGAAATCAAATAAAAGAAAATTTTTTACTACAGTTTTCCATGCTTAATTAATAAAAATGTATAAATTCTAATGAGTCAATCCTTTACTGCAGACCATGTACATTTCAAATGGTTAAAAAAATTATTTCTATACTGAGAGTCATAAGAAGCGTTTCAAATTAAAAAAAAGTCTGTCATCAATGGATTCAAATTAATTTCTCAATGAGAAAAAAAAAGCGAAAAAAAAGCTTATACATGTATATCAAATGTGTACCAACTCCCTTTCAAAGATCATAACATGTCACCTTTCTCTTCCTGTAAGAGTTTCCATAATGTAACCTTTCTACACCAGTTGTTACAGAGGTCTGACTTTGTATCAATATTCATATTCCCTGACTAAAACTACTTAAATGATTAATTTTTACAAGAAAAGGTAAAAGTGCACAGCATTTACACGTGTTCACAGGATGTATATCTAAACATTTGCGTATAATGAGCTACCAAGATTATATCAATAAAATGGTTTGTGAATTCTGATATATTTAAAAACAACAACAATGAAATACAAATTTTCAGATCAATAAAAAACTCTGGTCATTGTAAAACAAATCTTGTGAATATTTACTAATTCAATGTTTCAGAAACATACAGATGAGAATAATTTCCTCATCACATATCTGTCTAATGAAACAATTATAAAAACAGGAGCATAAAATGTTAAGGAAGTATTTCAACAAATATAACAAAAATAATGTTGGTCATTTAAAATTTCAGCAAATTACAGCTTCTGAAACAATGAATTAAAATCATTGCAATGTCTTAGTCAAGGGCAAAGTATTTGTTTGTCAATTAATTATTCTAAAAAAAATTTATCCAACAATCTCCCTAAAAAAAATAATGTTGTGTAATATAAGCAAATTAAAATTAATAATAACATGTTTATATAAATGGATTAATGGAGTTTTTCTATTCTTAACAAATAACAACACAATAGTGTAAAATTGGAATGTACACAAATGGACCCATATATGCTGCTTACTACTGTTCCAAAATATTTTTATTTGTTGTGATTGAAGATATGAAATATAACTATATAACTTGGTCAACCAGACCTTTTCATTATATCTTAAATTTCTGATAAATTTTTATTTAAATGCTTGAAATTCTCACTTATATTCACTTTTTATCTTGAAGTGTCTAGGAACCCTTTCCTTATTTTTATCTTTGAGAAAATAGATAAATATTTAAAATTCATTAACTAACCAAATCATTAATTCAATTTATTCCACATTAAAATTTTATGAAACTATATATTCCAGCCTCTTATTCCTTACATAAAATGTTAGGTGTACGAGTAATGCTTGATGTATTGGAGCACTGGGAATACTTAAATTTAACCAGAATTTTTTCAAAGTGTAAATAATAATCTGGAAATTCATTTTCCTTTCAAAAATAAAACTGGTTTAAAAAAGACGTAGAAATTAATATTTACATTTCTATTTTTCATGGAAAATTTATCACAGACTGTATGCAATAAATGTGATGCTGGCCTGGGAAAGAAAAATAAAATTTATATTTATTGAAAAACAATATTTTTCAAAGTAATTACTCTCAGAAAAAGTAAACCATCTGAGTTAATAATAAACCATAATGATATTAAAATTCTTATATAATATAACAATAACAAAATTACCTTATTATCTTTGAAAACTTGTGAAAGCTGAATTACCACAATATATTGATTTGTGAAAACGGAACCATATAACCTATTTTCAATCTATATAAAAATAAAACTTCACAATAAAATAAAATGTCAATCAACAAATACCCAGTATTAGAAGAACAATTATATACATACTTTCCTATTCATCACAATTTTACAATTATTACACATTCATAAACTTACAAAATCAATTTAAAATTTCTTTCTTTTTTTGTAGTTGAATGATTGGTGCTCTCGACAATCTATAATCAAAATTTGCCATCAGAATTCACTTATTTCCCAGACTATTTGAACCCTGTAGTTTATGAAAAAGTTCAATGCATAACTTCCATATTATTCATGTTAAATCATTTCAAAATTTAGAAAATGAATAGACAAATAGAGTTGTCTATGAATTTGTACAACAGAGTTACATATAGATTACATGTTACATTTATTGGAAATACTACTCAAACAGACAACAACCATTATCCAGCAATGGATTTATTGGGAATTACACCTTCAGCCTATAGCAAAATAGTTTTCAATCATTTTCTAAATCAACTTCTTAAAATGCAAAATATATTTACTCCCAAAATGTCATAATTACTATCACTAACCTGTAACAGATAGGGCTTAACCAGACATTTACTTCATATATTGCATCAAGTCAATTTCTCTAAGCTGATTAAATGAAGCTATTTCTAATATCAAGCATTTCAATATGAACAGCTATCATAACTGGAATAAAACCTTTTTTAAAATGTAAAAAAAAGTTAAATATTACCTAAAAAAAAAAATAATGTTGAGGAAAACACGAACAGAAATTAGCTTCAATAGAAAGATGTGGAAGATTATGGTGACGTTTTTAAATCGAACAAAATTGGTACACCATATATACTGCTGAATAGCAAAGCTATAAATACTGGGTAATAAACATTGATAAAAACAATTTATATACATGTCCATAAAATATCTACCCTCAAAAACATAAACTTTACAAACATAACAGTGCTATCACAATTTTATCACCATACTACACTGCCATTAAAATCATGCATGGAATGTAACATACAAAGAAGATATTTATAGTAGATGTAATTTTAAAAAAAAGTTCATGCAAGTTATGGTGAAATGAACCAGAGCTAAAATTCATTTATGGATGATAAATAAGGCAAATCACTACATATTTCAATGTATTAGAGGTCTTCTACAATACATGTTTTGATTAGTCATTAAAATTTAGAGGAAACATTGATTATCTTCCTACCAGTTAGTTTCACAAAACAGACATTTCTAATAATCTTAAATTTATCTTATCAAAAAAATCTAGCCTTTGCATTATAATTAATTTAATTGAGTGGAAATCTTGGGCAATTTAAATCTTAATCATACAGATATCCATGTTATATAAGTTTGTACTTTCAGTAACCAATTTTCATTCATAATAAAATGGTTAACTGATTTCTACTAAGTTTCAAATACATGCTACTTATCTTTTCATTGAAAGACCATTTATCATTTTAGCATTTCCTTTAATTGTTATTACTGAAGCTAACCATTACTTCCAGCAAGGAGTTTAAGCTTTTTACTAAGGAAAAGGTAATATCTTTGGTTACGCTTGCTTGCTAGCTGAACCCTGAAGTCACTGGGTTAGGTAAACTACCCTCCTTTAAGAGTAGACTAGTCCGACAGATAACCAATCTATCCGTCTGTAGGACTAGGCTACTTCAAAAGGAGGGTAGTATACCTTACCTAATAATGACTTCACGGTTCAGCTAGCAAGCAAGCTAGCAAGCAAGCTAACCAAAAATATTACCTTTACCTACACACTCAATGCAATCGGCTGTAATGGGCAACTATTTATTGCTCTATTGCAAATTTCTTAATGTTAATGTTTCTTGTTTGCTAAAACAATAACTGATCTATCAAAAATCTGACTTAAGGACCCATTTTTCTTAATATTCTGCTTCATAAAGTAGGTTCACCAAAAGAAACTCAAAAAGCCTTTCTGAAAATTTAAAAGATACAATTTTCTTTGTTTTGATTCTCTAAACACAAGTATTCATAAAAATAAAATACTAAACAATCTATATTCTATATCTATATACAATGTGTGGTAGTATGAGTGGTTATGTATATATTCTAATTCATAATATATAACACACAAAACATTTATTTCTATAGAAAACATCAATGAATGTTATTTCATAATTCATAAATTTATCACACATCAAAACATGTCAAAATTGATTTAAGAATCCTAATTAAAAGTTCCATGTAAAGAAAGCAATGTACTGCGGTTAATACAGTTTTTGAAGTACAAAAACATTTCTCCATAGTATACAACTGTTAAAATTTGTTTTCTGATTTTACAGATTATATACACATTATCAATCATTCTCTTAAATACCTAACTTGTGTCAGTAATTAAACTCTTTTAAATGAGACACCATCTTTAGGTATTTGTAAGCTAATCATCAATAAAGCATACAGGAGTTAACAAACTGAATTATATAAAATAAATCTGACAAAAAATATATTGTAACAGATGAAAAAATAACAGAAGAACAACAATTGTTTCTTCCTTAGTACAGAAAATCTTTTGGAATGATAGAAATATGTAATAAAATATGAAAAGATAAACCAATATAAAAATATAAATATGTACAAACTAAATGATAGATAAAACTCCCAACTATATATATATAATTCTGGAATCATAAACAAAAGGAATGATTAATTTTGGAATGAAAAAGTGAATGTATTTTAATAACTGAGGTAAAAACTGCAACACAAACTTTTTATATATAAAATAAGAAAAAATATTAACAAATAACCATAATCTTTACCCAACATTAAAAATAACAATGATACTTTGATTGAAGTACACAGAAAACATTAAAACAATTTTTTTTAAAAGTTCATGTCTAAACTCAGTCTATTTAAACATCAATGAATTGCATTAATCTTGTTAATTCACTTCCCTTGTTTCTTACAAGAGGCCTTTCTTAAAAGATACCAATCTTAAAATTTCCCTCGCACAGTAGGCAAATCTTCCAACCAACGTTCTTGAAAAAGACATTCAAATGGATCTTGCTATTAATTCTGTCAAGCATGTTGCTTTAAAATAAAACTTAAATGAATGTCACTTTAAAATAAGGACCCCATTTTCAAGCTTCTGCATTTTGACAATACAATTGCCATCAAGGTGACGATCCAGGTTGCGTGGGGTAACAAATCCTTCATCGCAATGAGGACATGCATGCTTGGCCTTGAGTAAGTGAATCTGTGATTTCATATGTCGATTCAGATCAGATTGTGTAACACCTTTATAGTTACAAAGCTTACAGCAGAATTCACGTATTCCTGAAAAAAATAAAATTTGACAACATTAATTTGCTTGTGTGTATGAACTGTAAAACTGTAAAAACATTTTGATGAAGACCCACAGAAATTTCACCAAGTCTATCAGATTATTATGATTCTGTTTGAAGGATTTAGTAGATCAAAGTTGTTTGCCTACATTTGGTAAATATCAATTAAACAAGTGTTTATGGTTTTTTAACACAGAAGATTAACCCCCCTAATTATATAAGATTTTTTAGTTATTTCTTTTTAATATTTCAATTTATAATTCCTTATTTAAGGTTTTCTTGTTCTTATTCATTCATTCTTGCAATACCAATAGTTTATACCAACTGACCCTTAACTTGTATTTCCTATCAAACAAGTAATGTGCCAGAGGCAAGTAGTTGTACGATGTCAGTAGATTTTAGAATTTAAGAACTTTCCTGCATTGTGGATCAAAGAGTAGAGGGGCAGTACATATTATCAACAGCCATTATAAGATTTTAATTCAAATCTGTTAATGAAAAACTTTTATACAATATGTCTTTTTTATATGCAAAGTTGAAAGTTTTTTTAATTACCTCCCTTTGGCTGCACTGTAAACATTCATATTTAATATTGCCAATGCCTTGTACATTAGCCGCAATCATTCTTCAGATTGATAAGTTTTAAAACTGTATATGATGCTTACAACAACCAACAAATAAGTCCTGTTAATCACATTACACAAGCAAAGGTTCCCCTGTATTTGCAAATTGCTTTAATAGAGTAGGGGTAAATAGTTATCAAAGGTACCAGGATTATAATTTAATACGCCAGACGCAAAACACCACCTGGGCCATTTTTTCTGTAGGTAATTAACTAGGTATGCAGCCTATGAGGATAAGAAAAAAACAGGGAATTCAACAATTTCTTTCAGTCGATTTACAATTTGTCAACCTATATATCGAACCTTCATAAAAAAGGGGAAAAAGAAATGAAACATAAAAAATATGCTCAATTTGGATGTGTTTGGTCATGAATGTTACTGAAATGGTTGACTATAATATGTGTATACCAGCACGCCTCCAGCCATCAATAATGAATTTGTTCTTGCACTGTTGGTTTTTAAAGAGCCTTACAGGATAGAAAACTTAATATTCTACTATGAAAACACTGAACCAGATTTAATCAAATTGGGGGTGAACAAACCAAAAGATTACTGATTTGTATTAACTGACATTACTAGTCAATCAACTATGCCACTGTTCCTTTAAATATAAGACAGAAAACAAAATATTTTTTTTTATTACTATTTCTAGAATATTCAAATCTATTGGAACACTGAATTTGTAAGTTCAAACCCTGCTCATGCAAGTTATGTTTGACTTGGAACTTAATTGACTATGATTAACAGTTGGAAGTTTTCCTGCTGAAGAACAGTTGTTCTCTCCAGCTTCAGCCATCAATTAAAAAGGGCTGCCATGATATACCCATCAATCAATCAATCAATCAATCTATTGGGACAAAGTTGATGCAATGGTTCTTTGAAGAAGACATTTTTAAATTTGTGATAATGTTAACCCTAAAAATAAAACCACCACCATTTCTACAAACAGAAAACAAAAATGGAAAGATAAAAGATCTGTGATTTTCTACTTGTTGAACTTAACCCTACCTTGATGCCTCATCATATGTACTTTAAGTTGGCTGTTGGTCCTGGCATAATATTCACAATATTTACATTTAAATGGTCTGATGTCTGTAAATAAAATAATTAAATTATTATAAGTTAATAGATATGTAATATATATCATAAGCAATAAGATTAACAAATAAAATCTTTATATTCAATACCTCTGGAACAATATTGTTTGGTAAGTGAATGTATTTATCATAGCTGTATAATCTATATATAATAATATTTATCAATGTTTACACCTTGATCACAACTGAAGAGCTGTACAGTATAAATCATTTTACATGTGTATTTAATGTTTCCATCTTCATGGTGTAGTAAATAGAATAATTCAAAGTATCGGAAACAGGAAGTGGGTGTCTGACAGATCCAAAAAGCACTAACTCTTTACAATTCATTCACTGTCACGCTGCTGACCATATATGATGTCATTATGTTTAGCAGTTCCTGAGAAAAGTTTCACTTAAATAATTTTTTTTTATCAACATATTAAAAAATTAGAAGTTTTGGCAATTAGGAAGTAGGAGTCTGATAGATCAGATAAGTGCTCAAATCTTACATCTCATCACACACTTCAAATACAAATTCTCAAATTTTAATGAAACTACCATCATTAATATTGCATACAGACAAATGTATTTGAGTCTACACAATTGTGGACTATAGCAAAAAGAAAAAAATCCTTGAAAATGGTAATACTAAATTTTCATTACTTAAAATCTGCAAAAATATTAATTACCCTCGTGAAAATCCATATGTCTATTGATGTCTGAGTAAGATAGAAAGTCTTTATTACAGAAAGGACATCTGAACACAGTCCTTCCATCTGCTAACACTGTTGGTTTACAGATTTTTTCTCTGTCTACTGGAGTACTGACTACTGGCAATCTGTAAAACAATGCAGAAATGTTTTGTGACCATAACTACTGACTCTAGTGTAGAATGAAATGTTTAAAGTCTGTAGTCAAAGAATTCAACTTGACTTACAAGAGGATGTTAAAATTACAGCGAATCAGGTTTTTATAACATAAATTAATGTCACTGTCAATTTAAAAGGACCATAACTCCTGAACTACCAAAGTGAATATCATCAAAGCCAATCTTTGTCCTCTATTTTTTCATGAGAAACAACATATCAAAATTTGAAAAGGATAAGATCAAATGTTGTTAATTGTCACATTGAAACCAAAATAAAGTAACATTTTCCAATCAATCACGAGTTTTAAAATTTAACTCCAGATCGTCAAAAGAGAAAATTGTCATTATAGAAAACATGAACTCCATTTGGTCATTAGTAAGTACTATATATACCGTACAAGAAAAAGTTCAAATTAAACATGAACCTTTTGCAACCATGAAATAATAAGACTCACTGTATCTTTACAAGGAATCTTTATGACCATCTAAATATTTGAATAACTGACCTTGAATGTGTCCTTGACAAAGATGTGACTTTTCTCCCATCTGAAGACAATCCCCATCCTTGTTGTAAACTTAACGGTAAATTGCTGGGATTCCCTTCAAGCACGGGCTCACTTTTATCCGGATCATTCCACTGAACTCTTGGACATCCAACAAGCTTTTCTCTGTCTGACTCTGATAATTCTTCATTTGAGATATTAGAAGAATGATTAGAATCAGAATCATTATCTTCTGTAGGACTTTTTGGCTCTTCTTTAATAACTACTGGGTCCTCATTTTCTTGTTTTGGAATCGTCAGGGAAATCGGTACACTAATTGTAGGATTATTTAGTACTGGTTGTTGAACCTGTGGAGGAATTGATGTTCCTAATAGCCCATTACTAGTGTGAGATGGAAGGCTTACCAAGGGGAGACCAGGAGTAATTCCAGAGAGTATATTTCCACTTGCAATCAGCATTCCCTGAGAGGTGATTGGTACACCCTGGGCTGCAAGTGTAGCAAGAGTGTTGGCCATAACAACAGGATGTATCCCAGGATGCAACATTGCTAGATTATTGAGTTTGGCAGCCATCAATTCACTATTGATGACAGGAAAGGAAGAAGTAGATATTGGAGCTGGAACTGAGACTGGAGGGGGAAGCAACTCTTTTTCATCTACAACAGGTTCTTGTTTTACAGTAAATATCTCCCTCTCTGAGTCAGATCTGGTAACCACAACATTTGTACAATCCATGGGGTCAGAATTTTCTAATTTTATAGGTTGTGATGATTTTCTTTTTGATTTTGAGAGCAGTTTGGACATCAGAAGACGTTTTGGGGATACCTGGATTTCAGATTCATCAGGTTTCTTCTGTACAAATATCTCAGATTCTTGGTTTGACAGAATATTGTCTAAGTTAGCCTTCCTTGTCTCAGTAGAATTCTGTTCATCTGGTTCACTTGGCAACACAACTGTTACATCTTCCTGTATTCCTTCCTTTTGCAGAATTTCTCTGGCTTTCTCAAAAATCTTATCATTGGGCACTGGAATACTTGGAGTTGGAGGTTTGTGCCATTGTGAGGTTTTTGATAACAAAGAAGAGAGTAAAGTATTCTTTGCTGTAGCTGATGGCAATACTGTATCATCATCATCGTCATCATTTTTCTTATGATCTCCCGTGATGTGTAACCTTAATTTCCCATACTCCATAAAGCCTTCACCACATTGCTCACAGTAGCAGATGTGTTGTTGATTGTGAATTTTGATATGCTGCAGTAAAGCCGACTCCCTGTAAAACGATTTCCTACAAAGTAAACATATGAAAGATCCATTAGGTTTCTTTTTAAATCTTATTCCTTTGTACAATTTTCCAAGTGGATCAGACTTCATAGCTTTATTGGACAAGTCATAGAGGTCAGTAACAGGGAAATCTTTGGTAATATCTTTATCTGAGGTAGATGCAACATCTTCATCCCCTTCTTTTTCTTCAACTGGATTTTCTTCAATTTTGATTGAGGTAGTTTCTTCCATTTGGTCATTTTGCTGCTCGTCTCTTTTCTCCTCTTCAGAATGTAATTTTTCAGGATCTGGGAATGGCTCTTGGTTTTTCCCAATCTCTTCATTCTGCTTTGAATCTTTTTCAGTTTCCATTTCATCAACCTTCACTTTTTCATCACCTTCCATCAATGTCTTATCTTTCTTTTTATTGTCATTTTCCTCTTTACCTGTAAGTTCAATTTCATTGTCATCTACTGATGGTTTATTATGTAAAGTTCCCTTCATATTTTCTTCAGCTTTCTTAAAAGCCAAGTTTGATTCTTTTGGGTGATTCTTACGAATATGATTTATGACCCGAAACTTAAACCAAAATGTGTCATCACATAGCTGACAACGATAAAGAGTAAGATCCCTTTGAAAATGCATTGACAGATGGCACTGGATTTTCAGCAGATCATCAAAAAGCTTGCCACATAGGTAACATTTATACAAAGAGACATCTTTTGCAGTGAGTACATCCACCCCATCTAGCCTTGTGACCAAAACGGTTTCATTTTTAACACAGATGTGGCGCTTGACTTTATGAGACTCCTGTACAATTTGCATTCCTACCATACTATTAGTAAGTTTTAAAGGTTCTGGTTTTATCTGTCCAGCTGTTACAAGTGGTTTGTTAAAGATGCTTCCTGACTGTTTGAAGAGTCCTGTGTTTTCATCCAATTCCACCTCACCTTCCTGATGTGTATTGATATCATAACTATACAGCACTTGATTGTTAGCACATCTGACTTTTTGTCCTAATTTTTGTAACAGAAGAGAACTTGCCATTTGAGGATCATTGTGGATATGGATATCTTTAGACTCTTCATTTACATATGATATGGGACTACCATTTGGCTGGCTCATCAATGTATTAAGACGATTTTGCTTTTTTAATTTCATAAAACGCTCCTGCAGACCGGGACTTAGTTCAATATTTAGGCCATGTGATGATTTTTGGTGGTAAAACATACTATTTTTAGCTCGAAAAGCTTTCCCACAAATCTGAAAAATATGAAATACAAACATTGATACCCAAGTTGCTGATATTCAACCAAAGATTTTATTTCTGTTTTCAATTTTGTTATATACAGAATGTATATCTACAGAACAGTGAAATAATTTAGTTGAATAAACATTTATTTTTTAATATCAATATACCTGAAAGCTTCCACTTAATACAAGAAATGCTTCCAGTTTGATTTTTTTTTAACTATTATTTCTATTGGTTGGGATTGAATTTTAAACAATGTTTAATACATGTAGTATGGAGTTCTCATGTTGGTAAAGAAAGCCTAGGCTGTTCAATGAAAAAGTCAACTCATTGGTAATCATACCATACATGTATTTCCTAATTATTATGAATTATATGAAATGATATTATCAGTTGAGTTTCACATTGAAAAACCTGTCAAATGTTGAATTTCCTTTCCTTTTTCAGAAAAGAAATTGATCTGATAACAGTTCAAATTAAATCTCTTTTTCCAACTGACATTTTTTGAACAGGTTAAATGTTAGATTGGCATGTATAGCCAGTGGTCTGACTTGCTTATGGATTGAAAATTTAACCATGAAGACTGCAAAGTCAAGAGATGATCTCAACCTTGAAATCTAATACATGTAGTAGAACAACATTATTCTTAACTGACCAGATTACCAAGCCTTTTTATAATTCTGTCTCACTCTAATATCAATGTAAAGCTACATATTTTATCCATTGATTGTCTCAATTCACAATACAAATGTACATGATAAAATCTTTGAACTCACATTACATCTGAATGGTCTTTCTCCAGTATGGCTCATCATATGTCTTTTAAGATCACTTGGTTTACTGCATGTCTTTCCACATACTTGGCAAGTTCTGTTGTTACCATCTTCTGAGCACAGTTTTGTTGTTGTTGGGCTGATCTTAAAACTACCAGTACTGCTACATGATGTGTCTGAAATGTATACAGATCCCTGAGGTTCTCCACAATATACCATAGATGGATAACTGTATAAATCCTGAACTTCAGATTTTATCTTTTTAGTTTCACTCTCTGGGGAAGAATGGCATCCCACTGATTCATCAGATTTACGTTTTCTGTTGGCTGTGATACTGGCATCAATTGCTACCATGGAAACAGCTAGACTGATCCCATGCACTGTATGTTGGTGATGCTGTAAGGATCGTTTAGACTTGAAAGCTTTATCACAAAGCTGAAAATACAATAAAAATGTAAATAAAATGCTCCGCAGGGCGCAGCTTGATACGACCGCAGAGGTCGAACCCTGAACAGTTGGGGCAAGTATGGACACAACATTCAAGCTTGATACAGCTCTAGATCTGAATATGGATTGTTATTAAATATTTGACACAGCATAGGTTTCTGACACAGAAAGAATGTGGTCTAAGAACTTGAATTTTTTTTAATTTACCTATTATGGTCCAATGTCCAAAATCAAAATACATGGTTAGATTCAGCATATCAAAGAACCCCATATATTCAATTTTTGTTAAAATCAAACAAAATTTAATTTTGGACCCCAACTTCGACAAACTTGAAAACTGGGCCCATAATCAAAAATCTAAACACATGTTTAGATTCAGCATATCAAATAACCCCAAGAATTCAATTTTTGCTAAAATCAAACTAAGTTTAATTTTGGACCCTTTGGACCTTAATGTAGACCAATTTAAAAAACGGGACTTAAAATTAAAAATCTAAATACACGGTTAGATTTGGAATATCAAAGAACCCCAATAATTCAATTTTTGATGAAATCAAACAAAGTTTAATTTTGGACCCTTTTGACCTCAATATGAACCAATTTGATAGCGGGGCCCACAAATAAAAAATCTAAATTCATGGTTAGATTCAGCATATCAAAGAACCCCATATATTCAATTTTTGTTGAAAACAAACAAAGTTTAATTTTGGACCCCAACTTGGACAAACTTAAAAACTGGGCCCATAATCAAAAATCTAAACACATGTTTAGATTCAGCATATCAAAGAACCCCAAGAATTCAATTTTTGTTAAAATCAAACTAAGTTTAATTTTGGACCCTTTGGACCTCAATGTGGACAAAGTTGATAACGGGGCCCAAAAATCAAAAATCTAAATACATGGTTAGATTCAGCATATCAAAGAACCCCATATATTCAATTTTTGTTGAAATCAAACAAAGTTTAATTTTGGACCCCGATTTGGACCAACTTGAAAACTGGGCCCATAATCAAAAATCTAAATACATGTTTAGATTCAGCATATCAAAGAACCCTAAAAATTCAATTTTTATTAAAATCAAACTAAGTTTAATTTTGGACCCTTTGGACCTTAATGTAGACCAATTTGAAAACGGAACCAAAAATTAAGAATCTAAATACACGGTTAGATTCGGCATATCAAAGAACCCCAATAATTCAATTTTTGATGAAATCAAACAAAGTTAAATTTTGGACCCTTTGGACCTCAATGTGGACCAATTTAAAAACGGGGCCCAAAATCCAAAACTTAATACACGGTTAGATTCAGCATATTAAAGAACCCCAAGAATTCAAGAATAAAACCCCATTGAAATTGATCAAGAAATAAGCAATTTATACGAAGTATCTTCTTTTGCACAATACTGTGCAATTGAATATTTCTTGCTATTGCGCAATACTGTACAATTGACAATTTCTTGCTATTGCGCAATATTGTGCTATTGGATATTTCTTGCTATTGCGCAATACTGTGCAATTGAAGATTTCTTGCTATTGCGCAATACTGTGCAATTGAAGATTTCTTGCTATTGTGCAATACTGTGCAATTGAAAATTTCTTGCTATTGCACAATACTTATTATATAATAATTTACACATCCTGTTTGGTGTGTATCTCCTACCATATCATTATTATTTGCTTTTAAATATAAATCAGAAATAACCACCTTAAAATGGAAAATTTTAAAAGGAAAAAAAAAGGAAAAAAAGAAAAAAAAAAAAAAAAAAAAATCCCCCCCCCCAAATTTTTTGAACCCCTTATGATTCATCACCCCCAAACTCAATCCCAGCCTTCCCTTTGTGGTATGGTACCTTGCAGTACAATTTCAGAGAGATCCATACACTTGAACACAAGTTATTGTCTGGAAACTAGAAAAAATGCTTATTTTTGGCCCCTTTTTGGCCCCCCAATTCCTAAACGTTTCAGGCAATTACCCCCAAACTCAATTCCAGCTTTCCATTTGTGATATGGAACCTTGTAGTACAATTTCAGAAATATCCAAACACTTACACACAAGTAATTGTCATGAAACTAGAAAAATGCTTGTTTTTTGCCCCTTTTTTGGCCCCTAATTCCTTAAATTTTGAGGCAATTACCCCCAAAATCAATAAAAGCCTTCCCTTTGTGATATGGAACCTTGTGGTACAATGTCAGAGAGATCCATACACTTACACACAAGTTATTGTCTGGAAGTTACAAAAATGCTTATTTTTGGCCCCTTTTTGGCCCCTAATTCCTTAACTGTTGGTACCATAACCCCCAAAATCAATCCCAACCTTCCTTTTGTGGTATTGAACCTTATGGTAAAATTTCATAGAAATCCATTCACTTAAACTAAAGTTAGAGAGTGAAAACCAGTGTGTCTTCGGACGACGCCAGACGACGCCGACGCCGACGACGACGCCAACGTCATACCAATATACGACCAAAAAATTTTTAATTTTTGCGGTCGTATAAAAATAAATAAGACATTGAAAAGTCATCAAATAGCCAGATAATCCTACGACAGGGAAACAAATGAATTTACAAATTACTGTTCTAATCCAAAGATACCTTAGCATTAAATGCACCTCAGAAACTTGATTTTAAACTGGATGCTTATTTACATGATGGTCAATTATATGTCAATGCCATGTTTAGATACTTGAACTAGCCTAATCACCTATTTTTATAATTTATTTATTTCAGTCAATGTATTGGCATAAACAGTTTTGGAATCCATAATTAGGTGATATTTACTTGATTTTTGGTTGTTTTACTGTTACCTGATGAAATTATAGATTGCAAAAAATTTAGACCACCACACAAACTGTTCATAATCGGAGACAACTGAAAGTTACTCCCAATTAATTGTTAGTCCTGAAATAGTCAAATCCAGGGAGTACGGGAGTTAATTCTTGATATTCATCTCATTATACTATAGACATAGGAGAAACATGGGGTTTTAAGATTAAAACTGTTGCACAGGAATACACAATAGGAAAAATAAATGAATATTCCAATGTTTTCACAACATTTTCCATAAACATTTAAGCTATGCTTGACCATTTTTCACACATGGTTATATGCTAAAGAATAGCTTAAATGTTTATGGAAAATGTTGTGCTTCAGCATATAACTGTGTGTGTAAAAAATACAAGAAATTTGTAAATGTCTCTGGTAAATGCATGCCAACATGAAAGATGAACTTTACAGACCATGCTTTACTCTGTGATATGTATTTATACTTTTTATAGACTTTTTTCTTATTATAATTAGTTCTTGACACAATTGAATGTCCAATAATACGGAATTAGTCTGTCACTGATAACAAAAAATTCTAAAATATAATTATTCCCCTTTTGCTACCAAGCCATAACTGTAAAAGCTACTTTTAACACTTACATCACATTTAAAAGGATGTTCGCCAGTATGTTTTAGGAGATGGCGAGCAAGGTCAGATGGACTTTTCTTTACAGCTCCACAGAAATCACACATGCGGTCAGATGAAGATGGAGTATTGAAATTATGTTCTGACTGTCCAACTTCCGAGTCTCCACCATGATCAAATGAATAGTTAGAATCTGTGTCGAAATTATTTCTATCATCAGTTTCATCAATTTTCAAGTTTGAGTAATCATCAACATCTTCAGCTTCTAGATGTAAGGGGATGATGTCATCAGAATTTTCTGCATTATTTTCATCACAACTATCCACTTTGGATGTTTCATCCTTCTCCTCCTCAGTTACTACAATGTTGGCATTATTATCTTCTACAGCATCCTTTCCAACTGGTCCATTGTTGCTTTCTCCATTTGTTGGTTCATCTTCACCTGTTAGAGAAAAACACAGAATGTATGAAACTATGTAATAAAATGCTTCGCTGGGGCGCAGCTTGATACGACCGCAGAGGTCGAACCCTGAACAGTTGGGGCAAGTATGGACACAAAATTCAAGCTTGATACAGCTATGACTTTGGATTGTCATTAAATATTTGACACAGCATAGGTTTCTGACACAGGATGAATGTGGTGTAAGAACTGAAAAAAATTTAATTTACCTATTATGGTGGAATCTCCATAAACTAAATTGTTTGTTAATTTCAATATATCAAAGAATATGTAGAATTCAATGTTTGATGTAATGTAATAAAGTTGAAATTTGGACCGTTTTTGTTCAATGTGGACCAATTTGGTAACATGTATAAATAATCAAAAATCTAAATACATGGGAGCCCATTTAAATACATCATAAAGGTATTAAAATAGAAAGTGACATCATAGTCATGGCTAAAAATAAACAAAAATCCTTAATCAGCAACATTTAAAGTAATATCTAAAAATAAAATTCCTTTGTAACCATAAAAGCCCATTTAAATACATCATAAAGATATTAAAATAGAAAATGACATCATAGTCATGGCTAAACATAGCAAAAAACCCTTAATCAGCATCATTAAACAGTAATATCTAAAAATGGAAATTACATCATAAAGGTATTAAAATAGAAAATGACATCATAGTCATGGCTAAAAATAAACAAAATCCTTAATCAGCATCAGCAACATTTTATAGTAATATCTAAAAATAAAATTCCTTTGTAACCATAAAAGCCCATTTAAATACATCATAACAGATATTAAAATAGAAAATGACATCATAGTCATGGCTAAACATAGCAAAAACCTTAATCAGCATCATTTAACAGTAATATCTAAAAATAAAAATTTCTTTGCAACCATAAAAGTAAAATAGAAAATGACATCATAATCATAGCTAAAAATAAACAAAAATTTTTTTTATTGGCAAATTTTAAATGGAGTTTATTATACTAAAACAATAAATTTGCAACCATAAACATGATAAAACCCCATTTAAACACATCATAAAAGTATTAAATAATTCAACTACATCATAAGGCTATAAAAATAGAAAATGACTTCATAGTCAAGGCTAAAGGTAAACAAAAAACCTTCATCAGCAAAATTTTATATTGGCAAATTTCCAATGAAGTTTATTACACTAAAATTGTTGGCACATTTCCAATGCATTTATTAACAATAAAGTTATTGGCAAATTTCCAATTTACATAATTTAAAAGCAGTGTAGATGAGATATTTAAATGAGTTTGAATTACCAACCTTACACTGCTTTTAAATAATGTTCTTTACTCAATTATTTGTCTATTAAAATGGAAACCCTTGTTTTTTAACCTTTTTTCCCCTTATTCCTTAAACATTAGAGCACACTAAAAAAATCCTTATTTTCGACCAATATTTGGCCCCTTATTCATAAATGTTTGAGCAATTAACCCCAAAACTCAATTCCTACTTTCTCTTCGTGATAAAAAATAACCAACTTAAAATGTAAATTTTAAACAAAAAAAAAAGGAAAAAAAAAAATTACCCCTTTTTTGACCCCCGCCCCCCTTATGATTCATCACCCCCACCCCCCTTTCCCCCCAAACCAAGCTCAATAACAGCCTTGCCTTTGTGGTATGGTACCTTGTAATACAATTTTAGAGAGATCCATACACTTGAACACAAGTTATTGTCTAGAAACTAAAAAATGCTTATTTTAAACCCCTTTTTAGGCCCCTTATTACTAAACGTTTTGGGCAATTACCACAACACTCAATTCCAGCTTTCCCTTTGTGAAATGGAACCTTGTAGTAAAATTTCAGGAAGATCCATACACTTACACACAAGTTATTGTCATGAAACTAGAAAAATGCTTGTTTTTTGCCCCCTTTTGGCCCCTTATTCCTAAAATTTTGAGGCAATTAACCCCAAAATCAATCCCAGCATTGACCCTTTGTGATATGGAATCTTGTGGTACAATGTCAAAGAGATCCATATGCTAACACACAAGTTATGTCTGGAAGTTACAATAAAATGCTCCGCTGGGGCGCAGCTTGATACGACCGCAGAGGTCGAACCCTGAACAGTTGGGGCAAGTATGGACACAACATTCAAGCTTGATACAGCACTGAATTTGGATTGTAATTAAATATTTGACACAGCATAGGTTTCTGACACAGAATAAATGTGGTCTAAGAACTTAAAAATTTTTAATTTATCTATTCAAACCATATCATTATTATTTGCTTTTATATATAAATCAGTAATAACCAATTTAAAATGGAAAATTTTAAAGAAAAAAAGGGAAAAAAAATCCCCCCCCCCCCCCCCAAATTTTTTGAACCCCCTTATGATTCATCACCCCCAAACTCAATCCCAGCCTTCCCTTTGTGGTATGGTACCTTGCAGTACACATACATGTGATGGACTGTGAAACTAAGATCAGGAGTTTTGGAGATTAGGACTCAGATCAGGATGTTTTTAATCGACATAAATTCTGTCGTAAATGTAACCGTGTTCTGTAGAAATTGTCTGTTAAAGTGTGTTTTCTTCAACTTTCCATCCCAATGTATTATGTTTATAGTACCTTTGTACTTATAAATTTTCTCTATCTTTTTAAACTTTCAACTTGTTCAATCTAACATTCTTCTTTTTCAGTATGTTCTTTAAATTTTTTAGGTCATATCTTTCTTCCCATTATTCATTGCAATCAGAACATTTGCTTATCTATCTGCAAGTAGATCTTTTATTTTTATCTTTATGCAAGTAGATTTTTTTTTTTTTTTATCTTTACGCAAGTAGATTTATAATGCATGAAAAGTAACACATTCAAACAGTAACCATGGGTCATAGTTATTATATAAATTTCAATTTAAGCCTTTAAAGGAAGTATAGAATCCTCAAATAATTTTCAAATTATTATTTTTTTATTTGTCCTAAAACATTTAAAATCATTTAATTTCCATCCTTTTATGATTATTTGTTCAATTTATATTTTATTTATATTCTTTTAAAAATTTACATTATTTAAAGGAAAATAACTTAAAACAGGATAAATCAAGGGAAGTAACCTAACATTCATTTTAAATAAACAAAGTTTTATTACACAACGGCAGTTAGCCTGAGGTAAAAATCGTTTATTACCAGTATGTTTGACACCCAAGGTGACAAGTGAGGCCATATAATTATGCATTTTAATTGATTTACAGGTAAAATATAACTTCAGTAATGTCAGTTACACCAGATATGTTGGGCTGAAATTTTTCATTCATGAAATATTTCATACACAGGATTTGTTTGTCTTCAACTGGAGGTCGGGAGGAGACCCCTGAAAACGGTATTATTGTACTCCCGTCGGGAGGTTCACATGTATGAACTGTACAATTTCAGAGAGATCCATACACTTGAACACAAGTTATTGTCTGGAAACAAGAAAAATGCTTGTTTTTTGGCCCCAAATTCCTAAACATTTGGGGCAATTACCCCCAAACTCAAACCCAGCTTTCCCTTTGTGATATGGAACCTTGCAGTACAATTTCATAAAGATCCATACACTTACACACAAGTTATTGTCTGGAAACTAGAAAAATGCTTATTTTTTGCCCCTTTTTGGCCTCTTATTCCTAAACGTTGTGGGCAATTACCCCCAAAATCACTTCCAGTTTTCCCTTTGTGATATGGAACCTTGTTGTACAATTTCATAAAGATCCATACACTTACACACAAGTTACTGTAATGAAACTAGAAAAATGCTTGTTTTTTGCCCCTTTTGGCCCCTAATTCCTAAAATTTGGAGGCAATTACCCCCAAAATCAATCCCAGCATTCCCTTTGTGATATGGAACCTTATGGTACAATGTCAGAGAGATCCATACACTTACACAAAAGTTATTGTCATGAAACTAGAAAAATGCTTGTTTTTTTCCCCTTTTTGGCCCCTAATTCCTAAAATTTAGAGGCAATTACCCCCAAAATCAATCCCAGCATTCCCTTTGTGATATGGAACATTGTGGTACAATGTCAGAGAGATCCATACACTAACACACAAGTTATGTCTGGAAGTTACAAAAATGCTTATTTTTGGCCCCTTTTTGGCCCCTAATTCCTTAACTGTTGGTACCATAACCCCCAAAATCAATCCCCACCTTCCTTTTGTGGTATTGAACCTTATGGTAAAATTTCATAGAGATCCATTCACTTAAACTAAAGTTAGAGTGCGAAAACCAATGTGTATTCGGACGACGACGCCAACGTCATACCAATATACGACCACAAAATTTTTTTGCGGTCGTATAAAAATGCTTATTTTCGGCCCCTTTTTGGCCCCTTATTCCTTAACTGTTGGTACCATAACCCCCAAAATCAATCCCCACCTTCCTATTGTGGTATTGAACCTTATGGTAAAATTTCATAGAGATCCATTCACTTAAACTAAAGTTAGAGTGCGAAAACCATTGTGTATTCGGACGACGACGCCGGACGACGCCGACGACGCCAACGTCATACCAATATACGACCTCAAAATTTTGTTGCGGTCGTATAAAAAGTGGTTTTAATATAACTGTTTCACATTTAATATAATATTTATGTACTTACCTAGCAGATACATCAAAATGACCAAGCGTACTACTTACAGCCTTTCTCATTCAAATAAAATTGAGAATGGAAATGGGGAATGTGTCAAAGAGACAACAACTCGACCATAGAGCAGACAACAGCCTAAGGCCACCAATGGGTCTTCAATGATACTATTGCCCGAGTACCCCTATTGCAATTGTAATATTGTCCCAACCTTTTTTAACAAATCATAGATCACTAAAGTTATCCTGAATGCAAATTGCACAATTTCACAATAATTCTAAAAAATAATAACCTTCAACAAGGTAACTAAGCGAAAGAAACCTACAAAGTAAGGAACATTTTACAAAAAAATGGGCAAAAGATTTTCTTCTTTTGAAAGTCATGAAATTTTCCAGAGAAGTATTGAAACATAAAATTTTGTGTTTTCACGTCAAACATGCCAAATCAAACCCAAAATTTTAAGAAGCAAGTCATGAACATATATTTTTCTTTGCATATATTTAGAGAGAGCATATCAAAATTGACTTGATGTCAACATTTCAAGGAAAAAATCTAAAAATGATCTTCCCTCAAAGTGATGTCATAAGAGAGATTTTAAATTTTTTTTAGCAAATTAAAATAAATATACATGTAACACTCTCAAAGGTGTCAATCCCCCCAAACATGTTGTATTCCCTCAAATGTGTCTATTTTGCCACAACGTGTCCTTAAAATCCAAAATCACCCTAACATGTCCAATTTCACACACCCCAAACGTGTCCGATAATTGTTATTCGCCAAAACATGCCCACTTTAAAACGCCAGAATGTCTTAAAACTTATAGTGCTTAAATGTCCTCAGTGACGTCAATAACGTTTATGGTAATTCACTAAAGAGACATGAACAAGAAAAATAACTTTGCATGTATCATGACAATCCCTGATACCAGCCTTATAATTGTTAGAAAAACATGCATAACTTAAAGACAACGTTAAAATATGTTAAACCGTATGCATAACTTACAAGATGTGAATTTAGGTCATTCTAAATGTGCATCATCTTTTTAACTGTCACATTATGTTAAATTTATTGTTTTGAAAAAGTACAGTGACCTCATATGGACACATTTCTGAGTGTTACATACATAATAGGTTCCTTCAAACCCTGTGTTTCACTTGCCTCTTGCGATTGCTGCTGTCTATGTAAAAGTGTATTGTTCACTATAAAAGGTCAGTCCATTTATCAGTAAAAATATTGAAAATGAGAAAATTGTATAATTTCAAAATTCTATGAAGATTTTACAAGGTGATTGACGTGTAACAAAGTTAAACCCCAGACTGTCACTGTATTAACTTGTTAACTGAAAACAAAACTAAGTCTTTCATCAGTAAAATACAGAAAATTGAATGATAAAAAAAAAATCATTATTTTGCTCTGGATACTGTAGTCTTTTCATCATACTGAAAAAGAGCTTCTGTCCAACTTTTTTTAAGTAAAATTCCATGGGTGTCAGACAAAGTTATTGATGACTGAAAAAATATTTATATTGAATCTGAATGTTAATTGTAATAAAATGCTGGGGCACAGCTTGATACGACCGCAGAGGTCGAACCCTGAACAGTTGGGGCAAGTATGGACACAACATTCAAGCTTGATACAGCACTGAATTTGGATTGTAATTAAATATTTGACACAGCATAGGTTACTGACACAGAATGAGTGTGGTCTAAGAACTTAAAAATTTTTAATTTACCTATTCAAACCATATCATTATTATTAGCTTTTATATATAAATCAGAAATAACCAATTTAAAATGGAAAATTTTAAAGAAAAAAAAAGGGAAAAAAAATCCCCCCACCCCAACTTTTTTGAACCCCCTTATGATTCATCACCCCCAAACTCAATCCCAGCCTTCCCTTTGTAGTATGGTACCATGCAGTACAATTTCAGAGAGATCCATACACTTGAACACAAGTTATTGTCTGGAAACTAGAATAAACTGCTTCGCTGAGCGCAGCTGGATACGCCCGCAGAGGTCCAACCCTGAACAGTTGGGGCAAAAATGGACACAATATTCAAGCTTGATACAGGTCTGAATTTGGATTGTAATTAAATATTTGACATATTATAGGTTTCTGAATAAATGTAGTCAAAGAACTTGAAATTGGTTATATGAATTGAATTTATATTCAATTAAAGATTTCTTGCTGTTGTGCAATACACTGTGCCGTTGCGCAATACTTAGTAAATATGTTGTCAGACTATAAACAAATAAAGTTCAATTTATTCTCAATGTCATATTAGAAATTTATGAAAATGTAAAGGGAGCTTACATCAATAGATATAAACAATTCACCAAAGTTTCATGAGAATTGCTGACAGCATTTTTGAGTTATTGTCCAAAAACTGGAAAATCCCCCTTTTTTTATGAATAAAACCCTGTAACTCGGAAACGTCAAATCTAAAATATATAAAAATCGAAAGGGAGCTCATGTCAATAGATATAAACAATTCACCACAATTTCTTGCAAGTTGGTGAAAGCATTCTTGAGTTATTGTCCGAAAACTGGAAAATCACCCTTTTTTTAATGAATAAAACCCCAGAACTCGGAAACGTAAAATCTAAAATTTATAAAAATCAACAGGGAGCGCATGTCAATAGATATAAACAATTCACCACAATTTCTTGCAAGTCGGTGAAAGCATTCTTGAGTTATTGTCCAAAAACTGGAAAATCCCCCCTTTTTTAATGAATAAAACCCCATAACTCCGAAACGTAAAATATAAAATTTATAAAAAATGAAAGAGAGCTCACGTCAATAGATATAAACAATTCACCAAAGTTCTATGCAAATTGGTTAAATCGTTTTTGAGTTAATGTCCGACATGTTGACGGGGGACGGACAGAGGTATACCATAATACGTCCCGTAAACGGGCGTATAAAAATGCTTGGTTTTTTGCCCCTTTTTGGCCCTAAATTCCTAAACGTTATGGGCAATTACCCCCAAACTCAAACCCGGCTTTCCCTTTGTGATATGGAACCTTGTAGTACAATTTCATAAAGATCAATACACTTACACACAAGTTATTGTCCTGAAACTAGAAAAATGCTTGTTTTTTTGCCCCTTTATGGCCCCTAATTCCTAAAATTTTGAGGCAATTACCCCCAAAATCAATCCCAGCCTTCCCTTAGTGGTATGGTACCTTGCAGGACAATTTCAGAGAGATCCATACTCTTGAACACAAGTTATTGTCTGGAAACTAGAAAAATGCTTATTTTTGGCCCCTCATTCCTAAACGTTTTGGGCAATTACCCCCAATCTCAATTCCAGCTTTCCTTTTGTGATATGGAACCTTATAGTACAATTTCATAAAGATCCATACACTTACACACAAGTTATTGTCATGAAACTAGAAAAATGCTTGTTTTTTGCCCCTTTTTGGCCCCTAATTCCTAAAATTTGGAGGCAATTACCCCCAAAATCAATCCCAGCATTCCCTTTGTGATATGGAACATTGTGGTACAATGTCAGAGAGATCCATACACTAACACACAAGTTATGTCTGGAAGTTACAAAAATGCTTATTTTTGGCCCCTAATTCCTTAACTATTGGTACCATAACCCCCAAAATCCCAACCTTCCTTTTGTGGTATTGAACCTTATGGTAAAATTTCATAGAGATCCATTCACTTAAACTAAAGTTAGAGAGCGAAAAACCAATGTGTCTTCGGACGACGACAACAACGACTCCAACGTCATACCAATATACGACCGCAAAATTTTTTGCGGTTGTATAACAAAACTAAGTCCATTTACTCAGTAAAATATTGAAAAATGAAATGAATATTTTCAAAATTTTGCTCTGGATACTGTCTTTTGATAAAAAAGCTTCTGTAAAAATTTCATAAAGGTTTGAGAAAGTTATTGATGTCTACAAAAATGTTTGTCCACAGATTGAACCTAAATGTTGTCGCTGACGGAATCTAGGATCGCTATGTCTCGCTCTTTCAACACAAATGTTGCAGGCGAGACAAAAAACAGCTAATTTTAGAAACACTTTGGATAAATTAACATAGACATGATAGAGCACAAGTCTGTGAATAGATTACAGCTCTTTTCATAATGGTAGTAAGACAAAGGTTTGTTTGGCTTGCTTGCTTTGTTTGTATCAATGTTTGCTCAAGCATAATGCCATTGTAAAGAGCTGTAACACAGAATAACATTTGTGAGGCCAAATATCAAGATTATCTTATACTTTATGGCTAAGGGAATACATATATATTTCAAATGAAAACTGTTATGTTTAACTATAGCTAAAGTAAATTAATTTAGCATGTGATTGTGCAAATCTTAGACAATTTGAAATGCTTTTTAAAATAAAATGCTCCGCTGGGGCGCAGCTTGATACGACCGCAGAGGTCGAACCCTGAACAGTTGGGGCAAGTATGGACACAACATTCAAGCTTGATACAGCACTGAATTTGGATTGTAATTAAATATTTGACACAGCATAGGTTTCTCACACAGAATGAAAGTAGTCTAAGAACTTAAAATTTTTTAATTTACCTATTCAAACCATATCATTATTATTTGCTTTTATATATAAATCAGAAATAACCAATTTAAAATGGAAAATTTTAAAGAAAAAAAAGGAAAAAAAAATCCCCCCCCAAATTTTTTGAAACCCCCTTATGATTCATCACCCCCAAACTCAATCCCAGCCTTCCCTTTGTGGTATGGTACCTTGCAGTACAATTTCAGAGAGATCCATACACTTGAACACAAATTATTGTCTGGAAACTAGAAAAATGCTTGGGTTTTTTGCACCTTTTTGGCCCCAAATTCCTAAAAGTTTAGGGCAATTACCCCCAAACTCAAACCAAGCTTTCCCTTTGTGATATGGAACCTTGCAGTACAATGTCATAAAGATCCATACACTTACACACAAGTTATTGTCCTGAAACTAGAAAAATGCTTGTTTTTTTGCCCCTTTATGGCCCCTAATTCCTAACATTTTGAGACAATTACCCCCAAAAACAATCCCAGCCTTCCCTTTGTGGTATGGTACCTTGCAGTACAATTTCAGAGAGATCCATACACGTGAACACAAGTTATTGTCTGGAAACTAGAAAAATGCTTATTTTTGGCCCCTTATTCCTAAACGTTTTGGGCAAGTACCCCCAAACTCAATTCCAGCTTTCCCTTTGTGATATGGAACCTTGTAGTACAATTTCATAAATATCCATACACTTACACACAAGTTATTGTCATGAAACTAGAAAAATGCTTGTTTTTTGCCCCCTAATTCCTAAAATTTGGAGGCAATTACCCCCAAAATCAATCCCAGCATTCAAACCCTCAATCAGCATCATTTAACAGTAATATCTAAATAATAAAATGCTTCGCTGGGCGCAGCTTGATACGACCGCAGAGGTCGAACCCTGAACAGTTGGGGCAAGTATGGACACAACATTCAAGCTTGATACAGCTCTGAATTTGGATTGTGATTAAATATTTGACACAGCATAGGTTTCTGACACAGAAAGAATGTGGTCTAAGAACTTCAATTTTTTTAATTTACCTATTATGGTCCAATGTCCAAAATCAAAATACATGGTTAGATTCAGCATATCAAAGAACCCCATATATTCAATTTTTGTTGAAATCAAACAAAGTTTAATTTTGGACCCCAATTTGGACAAACTTGAAAACTGGTCCCATAATCAAAAATCTAAACACATGTTTAGATTCAGCATATCAAAGTACCCCAAGAATTCAATTTTTGTTAAAATCAAACTAAGTTTAATTTTGGACCCTTTGGACCTTAATGTAGACCAATTTAAAAAACGGGACCCAAAATTAAAAATCTAAAAACACGTTTAGATTTGGCATATCAAAGAACCCCAATAATTCAATTTTTGATGAAATCAAACAAAGTTTAATTTTGGACCCTTTTGACCACAATATGAACCAATTTGATAGTGGGCCTACAAAATAAAAAATCTAAATACATGGTAAGATTCAGCATATCAAAGAACCCCATATATTCAATTTTTGTTGAAATCAAACAAAGTTTAATTTTGGACCCCAATTTGGACCAACTTGAAAACTGGGCCAAAAATCAAAAATCTAAATACATGTTTAGATTCAGCATATCAAAGAACCCCATATATTCAATTTTTGTTGAAATCAAACAAAGTTTAATTATGGACCCCAACTTGGACCAACTTGAAAACTGGTCCCATAATCAAAAATCTAAACACATGTTTAGATTCAGCATATCAAAGAACCCCAAAAATTCAATTTTTGTTAAAATCAAACTAAGTTTAATTTTGGACCCTTTGGACCTTAATGTAGACCAATTTAAAAAACGGGACCCAAAATTAAAAATCTAAATACACGGTTAGATTTGGCATATCAAAGAACCCCAATAATTCAATTTTTGATGAAATCAAACAAAGTTTAATTTTGGACCCTTTTGACCTCAATATGAACCAATTTGATAGCGGGCCCACAAATAAAAAATCTAAATACATGGTAAGATTCAGCATATCAAAGAACCCCATATATTCAATTTTTGTTGAAATCAAACAAAGTTTAATTTTGGACCCCAATTTGGACCAACTTGAAAACTGGGCCAAAAATCTAAAATCTAAATACATGTTTAGATTCAGCATATCAAAGAACCCCATATATTCAATTTTTGTTGAAATCAAACAAAGTTTAATTTTGGACACCAACTTGGACCAACTTGAAAACTGGGCCCATAATCAAAATTCTAAACACATGTTTAGATTCAGCATATCAAAGAACCCCAAGAATTCAATTTTTGTTAAAATCAAACTAAGTTTAATTTTGGACCCTTTGGACCTTAATGTAGACCAATTTAAAAACGAGACCCAAAATTAAAAATCTAAATACACGGTTAGATTTGGCATATCAAAGAACCCCAATAATTCAATTTTTGATGAAATCAAACAAAGTTTAATTTTGGACCCTTTTGACCTCAATATGAACCAATTTGATAGCGGGTCCACAAATAAAAAATCTAAATACATGGTTAGATTCAGCATATCAAAGAACCCCAAAATTCAATTTTTGATGAAATCAAACAAAGTTTAATTTTGGACCCTTTTGACCTCAATGTGGACAAAGTTGATAACGGGGCCCAAAAATCAAAAATCTAAATACATGGTTAGATTCAGCATATCAAAGAACCCCATATATTCAATTTTTGTTGAAATCAAACAAAGTTTAATTTTGGACCCCAATTTGGACCAACTTGAAAACTGGGCCCATAATCAAGAATCTAAATACACGGTTAGATTCGGCATATCAAAGAACCCCAATAATTCAATTTTTGTTAAAATCAAACTAAGTTTAATTTTGGACCCTTTTGACCTTAATGTAGACCAATTTAAAAACGGGGCCCAAAATCCAAAAACTTAATACACGGTTAGATTCAGCATATTAAAGAACCCCAAGAATTCAAGAATAAAACCCCATTGAAATTGATCAAAAAATAAGCAATTTATACGAAGTATCTTCTTTTGCACAATACTGTGCAATTGAATATTTCTTGCTATTGTGCAATACTGTACAATTGACAATTTCTTGCTATTGCTTCTTGCTATTGCGCAATATTGTGCTATTGGATATTTCTTGCTATTGCGCAATACTGTGCAATTGAAGATTTCTTGCTATTGCGCAATACTGTGCAATTGAAGATTTCTTGCAATTGTGCAATACTGTGCAATTGAAAATTTCTTGCTATTGCACAATACTTATTATATAATAATTTACACATCCTGTTTGGTGTGTAACTCCTACCATATCATTATTATTTGCTTTTAAATATTAATCAGAAATAACCAACTTAAAATGGAAAATTTTAAAAGAAAAAAAAAAGGAAAAAAAGAAAAAAAAAGAAAAAAAAAAAATCCCCCCCCCCCAAATTTTTTGAACCCCCTTATGATTCATCACCCCCAAACTCAATCCCAGCCTTCCCTTTGTGGTATGGTACCTTGCAGTACAATTTCAGAGAGATCCATACACTTGAACACAAGTTATTGTCTGGAAACTAGAAAAATGCTTATTTTTGGCCCCTTTTTGGCCCCCAATTCCTAAACGTTTCAGGCAATTACCCCCAAACTCAATTCCAGCTTTCCCTTTGTGATATGGAACCTTGTAGTACAATTTCAGAAATATCCAAACACTTACACACAAGTTATTGTCATGAAACTAGAAAAATGCTTGTTTTTTGCCCCTTTTTTGGCCCCTAATTCCTAAAATTTTGAGGCAATTACCCCCAAAATCAATTACAGCCTTCCCTTTGTGATATGGAACCTTGTGGTACAATGTCAGAGAGATCCATACACTTACACACAAGTTATTGTCTGGAATTACAAAAATGCTTATTTTTGGCCCCTTTTTGGCCCCTAATTCCTTAACTGTTGGTACCATAACCCCCAAAATCAATCCCAACCTTCCTTTCGTGGTATTGAACCTTATGGTAAAATTTCATGGAGATCCATTCACTTAAACTAAAGTTAGAGTGCGAAAACCAATGTGTCTTCGGACGACGCCGGACGACGCCAGACGACGACGACGACGACGACGACGACGACGACGACGACGACGACGACGCCAACGTCATACCAATATACGACCAAAAAATTTTCAATTTTTGCGGTCGTATAAAAATGGAAATTACATAATAAAGGTATTAAAATAGAAAATGACATCATAGTCATGGCTAAAAATAAACAAAATCCTTAATCAGCAACATTTTACAGTAATATCTAAAAATAAAATTCCTTTGTAACCATAAAAGCCCATTTAAATACATCATGACAGATATTAAAATAGAAAATGACATCATAGTCATGGCTAAACATAGCAAAAACCTTAATCAGCATCATTTAACAGTAATATCTAAAAATAAAAATTTCTTTGCAACCATAAAAGTAAAATAGAAAATGACATCATAATCATAGCTAATAAAATGCTCCGCAGGGCGCAGCTTGATACGACCGCAGAGGTCGAACCCTGAACAGTTGGGGCAAGTATGGACACAATATTCAAGCTTGATACAGCTCTGAATTTGGATTGTGATTAAATATTTGACACAGCATAGGTTTCTGACACAGAATGAATGTGGTCTAAGAACTTAAAAATTTTAAATTGGACATTCACCTATTATGGTCCAATATCCAAAATCTAAATACATGGTTAGATTCAGCATATCAAAGAACCTCAAGAATTCAATTTTTGATGAAATCAAACAAAGTTTAATTTTGGACCCTTATGACCTCAATGTGGACAAAGTTGATAACGGGGACCAAAAATCAAAAATCTAAATGCATGTTTAGATTCAGCATATCAAAGTACCCCAAGAATTCAATTTTTGTTAAAATCAAACTAAGTTTAATTTTGGACCCTTTGGACCTTAATGTAGACCAATTTAAAAAACAGGACCCAAAATTAAAAATCTAAAAACACGGTTAGATTTGGCATATCAAAGAACCCCAATAATTCAATTTTTGATGAAATCAAACAAAGTTTAATTTTGGACCCTTTTGACCTCAATATGAACCAATTTGATAGCGGGCCCACAAAATAAAAAATCTAAATACATGGTTAGATTCAGCATATCAAAGAACCCCATATATTCAATTTTTGTTGAAATCAAACAAAGTTTAATTTTGGACCCCAATTTGGACCAACTTGAAAACTGGGCCAAAAATCTAAAATCTAAATACATGTTTAGATTCAGCATATCAAAGAACCCCATATATTCAATTTTTGTTGAAATCAAACAAAGTTTAATTTTGGACCCCAACTTGGACCAACTTGAAAACTGGGCCCATAATCAAAAATCTAAACACATGTTTAGATTCAGCATATCAAAGAACCCCCAAAATTCAATTTTTGTTAAAATCAAACTAAATTTAATTTTGGACCCTTTAGACCTTAATGTAGACCAATTTAAAAAACGGGACCCAAAATTAAAAATCTAAATACACGGTTAGATTTGGCATATCAAAGAACCCCAATAATTAAATTTTTGATGAAATCAAACAAAGTTTAATTTTGGACCCTTTGACCTCAATATGAACCAATTTGATAGCGGGCCCACAAATAAAAAATCTAAATACATGGTAAGATTCAGCATATCAAAGAACCCCATATATTCAATTTTTGTTGAAATCAAACAAAGTTTAATTTTGGACCCCAATTTGGACCAACTTGAAAACTGGGCCAAAAATCTAAAATCTAAATACATGTTTAGATTCAGCATATCAAAGAACCCCATATATTCAATTTTTGTTGAAATCAAACAAAGTTTAATTTTGGACCCCAACTTGGACCAACTTGAAAACTGGGCCCATAATCAAAAATCTAAACACATGTTTAGATTCAGCATATCAAAGAACCCCAAGAATTCAATTTTTGTTAAAATCAAACTAAGTTTAATTTTGGACCCTTTGGACCTTAATGTAGACCAATTCAATAACGGGACCCAAAATTAAAAATCTAAATACACGGTTAGATTTGGCATATCAAAGAACCCCAATAATTCAATTTTTGATGAAATCAAACAAAGTTTAATTTTGGACCCTTTTGACCTCAATATGAACCAATTTGATAGTGGGTCCACAAATAAAAAATCTAAATACATGGTTAGATTCAGCATATCAAAGAACCCCAAGAATTCAATTTTTGATGAAATCAAACAAAGTTTAATTTTGGACCCTTTTGACCTCAATGTGGACAAAGTTGATAACGGGGCCCAAAAATCAAAAATCTAAATACATGGTTAGATTCAGCATATCAAAGAACCCCATATATTCAATTTTTGTTGAAATCAAACAAAGTTTAATTTTGGACCCCGATTTGGACCAACTTGAAAACTGGGCCCATAATCAAAAATCTAAATACATGTTTAGATTTAGCATATCAAAGAACCCTAAAAATTCAATTTTTATTAAAATCAAACTAAGTTTAATTTTGGACCCTTTTGACCTTAATGTAGACCAATTTGAAAACGGAACCAAAAACTAAGAATCTAAGTACACGGTTAGATTCGGCATATCAAAGAACCCCAATAATTCAATTTTTGATGAAATCAAACAAAGTTAAATTTTGGACCCTTTGGACCTCAATGTGGACCAATTTAAAAACGGGACCCAAAATCCAAAAACTTAATACTTGGTTAGATTCAGCATATTAAAGAATCCCAAGAATTCAAGAATAAAACCCCATTGAAATTGATCAAGAAATAAGCAATTTATACAAAGTATCTTCTTTTGCACAATACTGTGCAATTGAATATTTCTTGCTATTGTGCAATACTGTACAATTGACAATTTCTTGCTATTGCGCAATATTGTGCTATTGGATATTTCTTGCTATTGCGCAATACTGTGCAATTGAAGATTTCTTGCTATTGCGCAATACTGTGCAATTGAAGATTTCTTGCAATTATGCAATACTGTGCAATTGAAAATTTCTTGCTATTGCACAATACTTATTATATAATAATTTACACATCCTGTTTGGTGTGTATCTCCTACCATATCATTATTATTTGCTTTTAAATATTAATCAGAAATAACCAACTTAAAATGGAAAATTTTAAAAGAAAAAAAAAAAGGAAAAAAAGAAAAAAAAAGAAAAAAAAAAAATCCCCCCCCCCAAATTTTTTGAACCCCCTTATGATTCATCACCCCCAAACTCAATCCCAGCCTTCCCTTTGTGGTATGGTACCTTGCAGTACAATTTCAGAGAGATCCATACACTTGAACACAAGTTATTGTCTGGAAACTAGAAAAATGCTTATTTTTGGCCCCTTTTTGGCCCCCTATTCCTAAACGTTTCGGGCAATTACCCACAAACTCAATTCCAGCTTTCCCTTTGTGATATGGAACCTTGTAGTACAATTTCAGAAATATCCAAACACTTACACACAAGTTATTGTCATGAAACTAGAAAAATCCTTGTTTTTTGCCCTTTTTTGGCCCCTAATTCCTAAAATTTTGAGGCAATTACCCCCAAAATCAATTACAGCCTTCCCTTTGTGATATGGAACCTTGTGGTACAATGTCAGAGAGATCCATACACTTACACACAAGTTATTGTCTGGAAGTTACAAAAATGCTTATTTTTGGCCCCTTTTTGGCCCCTAATTCCTTAACTGTTGGTACCATAACCCCCAAAATCAATCCCAACCTTCCTTTCGTGGTATTGAACCTTATGGTAAAATTTCATGGAGATCCATTCACTTAAACTAAAGTTAGAGTGCGAAAACCAATGTGTCTTCGGACGACGCCGGACGACGCCAGACGACGACGACGACGACGACGACGACGACGACGACAACGTCATACCAATATACGACCAAAAAATTTTCAATTTTTGCGGTCGTATAAAAATAAACAAAATTTTTTTTTATTACCAAATTTTAAATGGAGTTTATTAAACTAAAACAATAAATTTGCAACCATAAAACCCCATTTAAACACATCATAAAAGTATTAAATAATTCAACTACATCATAAGGCTATAAAAATAGAAAATGACTTCATAGTCAAGGCTAAAGGTAAACAAAAAACCTTCATCAGCAAAATTTTATATTGGCAAATTTCCAATGAAGTTTATTATACTAAAATTGTTGGCAAATTTCCAATGCATTTATTAACAATAAAGTTATTGGCAAATTTCCAATTTACATAATTTAAAAGCAGTGTAAGTGAGATATTTAAATGAGTTTGAATTACCAACCTTACACTGCTTTTAAATAATGTTTTGTACTTATTTGTCTATTAACCTGGAAACCCTTGTTTTTTCACCTTTTTTTCCCTTATTATTTAAAGGTTTGAGCCATAACCCTACCCCAAAGCCAATTCTTAAATTCCAATGTAACCTAAATTTACAATATACATAACTTCAATTTAAGTTTTTGATAAAATCAAACCACATCATTATTATTTGCTTTTATATCTAAATCAGAAATAATTAACCAACTTTAAGTGGAAAATTTTCACACATCACGCCCCCCCCAAACTCAATCCCAGCCTTCAGTTTGTGGTATGGTACCTTGCAGTACAATTTCACAGAGATCCAATTACTTAAACACAATTAATTGTTAGAAACTAAAAAAAAAATGCTTATTTTTAACCCCTTTTTTAGCCCCTTATTCCTAAACATTTGAGCAATTATCCCCCAAACTCAATTCCAACTTTCTCTTTGTGATCAGAATTAACCAACTTAAAATGGAAAATTTTAAAGAAAAAAAAAAGGAAAAAAAATCCCCCCCCCCCCCAAATTTTTTGACCCACTTCCCTTTGTGGTATGGTACCTTTAAGTACAATTTCAGAGAAATCCATACACTTGAACACAAGTTAATGTCTGGAAACTAAAAAAATGCTTATTTTTGCCCCCTTTTTTGGCCACTTATTAATAAATGTTTTGGGCAAACATTTTACAATAATATTTAAAACTGAAATTACTTTGTAACCTTAAAATTAAATAGAAAATGACATCATAGTCATAGCTAAAAATAAACAAACTATTGGTAAATTTCCAATGGAGTTTATTATATTAAAACAATAAATTTGCAACCATAAAAGCGCATTAAAATACATCATAAAAGTATTAAAAAAAATTTAACTACATCATAACGCTATTAAAATAGAAAATGCCATCATAGTCAGACTAAAGGTAAACAAAAAACCTTCATCAGCAAAATTTTATATTGGCAAATTTCCAATGAAGTTTATTATACTAAAATAATTGGCAAATTTCCAATTTACATAATTCAAACATAGTGCAGGTGAGATATTTAAATGAGTTTGAATTACCAACCTTACACTGCTTTTAAATAATGTTCTTTACTCAATTATTTGTCTATTAAAATGGAAACCCTAGTTTTTTAACCTTTTTTCCCCTTATTCCTTAAACGAAAAAAAATAATTACCCCTTTTTTGACCCCCCCCCCCCCTATGATTCATCACCCCCCCTTCCCCCCCCAAACCAAGCTCAATAACAGCCTTGCCTTTGTGGTATGGTACCTTGTAATACAATTTTAGAGAGATCCATACACTTGAACACAAGTTATTGTCTAGAAACTAAAAAATGCTTATTTTTCACCCCTTTTTAGGCCCCTTATTACTAAACGTTTTGGGCAATTACCACAAAACTCAATTCCAGCTTTCCCTTTGCGAAATGGAACCTTGTAGTAAAATTTCAGAAAGATCCATACACTTACACACAAGTTATTGTCATGAAACTAGAAAAATGCTTGTTTTTTGCCCCCTTTTGGTCCCTTATTGCTAAAATTTCGAGGAAATTAACCCCAAAATCAATCCCATCATCGACCCTTTGTGATATGGAATCTTGTAGTACAATGTCAAAGAGATCCATACAATAACACACAAGTTATGTCTGGAAGTTACAAAAATGCTTATTTTCGGCCCCTTTTTGGCCCCTAATTATTTAACTGTTGGTACCATAACCCCCAAAATCAATCCCCACCTTCCTATTGTGGTATTGAACCTTATGGTAAAATTTCATAGAGATCCATTCACTTAAACTAAAGTTAGAGTGCGAAAACCATTGTGTATTCGGACGACGACGCCGGACGACGACGACGACGACGACGACGACGCCAACGTCATACCAATATACGACCACAAAATTTTTTTGCGGTCGTATAAAAATACTTTGAATTCATTTCTAAACCGATTTCTAACTTTTAATTCACAAATATTTGTTATGTTGAGTAAAAAATTGAAATACTAACAACATGGATAATGATCTGCACCAATTAAAACAATGAGTACACACATAATAGGTGTTCAAGTAACAAAGGGAGCTGTATTTTAGGTGAAAAAATGCTTTAAAATCAAAGAGATGAAGTAACTTCTACATCAATTTTTGACTGGAAAATTATATCATTTTTGAAACAGACAAAATCCATGCATCTTTTCATCAAAATTTCTTTCACTCTGGTTGACATATGCTCAATGAAAATTCTACTTCTAATGCAGACTATAATCATGTATGATGCCAAACATAGAATCAAATTGTCTTGACCTATTAATAGTTATCTTTGTAGATGAACTTTTGGTAAGTAATGTAGGCCACTATATACATGTACAAATGTAACAAAGACAGAATATATGTCTTTAATTGTCAAAGGGTAAATGAGAACCCAAATTATGATATTGTCAATAATAATGATAATAATACAAAGTTTGAAACATACTATATATTTTGTTTATTCATTCATGTTTTTGGGGGTGGGTGTTAGTTTCCCATTCATTTTTTTCTAAATATCTTTTCTTTTGTTACCAGTCAGGGGTGCTACTTAAACAAGTGATTTCAAAATCACCTATTTCAGTTATTTCAGTTTCAGGAAAGAGTTGTCTCTCTTTAATTATAACTGAATTAAATCACTCATATAAGTGATTATTATTTACATCCATGTTACTCAATGATGAACCTATTGAACTATATTCTAATATGGATTGTTCCCCTTTGACATTTATTAAATCACCTGTTTCAGTGATCTAGCCTTTTTTATGTACCGGGAACTGACAAGAAAAATTCAACTTAATATTTTCTTTATGTAACACTTTGCCTTTTAATTCCAATTTAAAAAATTTCAAAATTGTTATTATAAAATACTCATTTCATCTATGCTATGTGATATTCTACTATTTCAAGTTGCATTACAGGTCTTGTGATAAAAAGAAGAGATACAGATTTCAATAAAATGTTTGAGAACAAGTCTCTTAGTTTTTGAAATTTGTTAACTATTAGACTGGTTGGTTCACGTCAGTCATATTTGTTATTCGTAAACTGTTCGGTTGTAAATTAGGTTGTTAGTTTTCTAAATTAAATTGTTTTATATTGTTCATATTGTTCATGTGGGGGCCTTTTAAAGGCAACTATATGGTATGGGTTTTTCTCATTGTTGAAGGCCGTAGAGTTGTCTATAATTGCTTAGATCCACCTTATTTGAACTTGTTGTCTCATTTGCAATCACACCACATCTCCTTATTTTTCTAACTAATTTGTGCATGTACAAATTGTATTTCCTACAAACACACTGTCTGATTTAAGTCTATTTTTGGTCAACACTGATTCAAGCTACATGTAGGTTTAATATCCTTTTTGTTAGGAACATATTATAGTATTATCAATCAGTTAGAAACTAAACAAGATCAATCATGAATCTAGTTTAATATTGCACCTTCATTAGCAGCTTAACGGCAAAGACGACACTGCTTAATGTCAGATGGTTTTTTTTTTAGGAGTCTGTGCAATAAGGACCCTTTTTTGGCTCCAAGAGTTAAGTTTATTATCTAAGGATGAAAACTGTTTCAAGTTGATGCATATACATATAACTTGTTGTTTCCTTTTAGAAGAGTTGTTAGTTATACTCAAATGACGCTGTCTGATTTTCAACCTCAATTATGGCAAACAATTATGGTGCCTAGTATACCTAGCTAGTGATATCAGATAATCATGTTTATAATTAAAAATCAAAGCACCAAAGGCGCTATAGGCAGTTAATTAAAAAAATCAAAGGTAAACTTGGCAGAAGTTAAGATGAATATAGTGGAAGAATGGATGAAAATATTTTTCTCTAATTCTTCGTCAATTTATCCCTTTCTGCACCCATTGTATAAAAAAAATTTAATCAACGTGTGGTTCATTTGATCTCAGTTCTTCATTGGTTAAAATCCGATTATGACGTCGAATTTCTGTATGTACCTGTCCATAGTGAGGACCCAGTAATTTGGTGATTGTTGATTGTTGCTGTATATCATATTTATTTTTCATAATTGTTTTGTACATAAATCAGGCTGCTTTAGTTTTATTGTTTTACATTTGTCATTTCGTGGTCGTTTATATCTTACTATGCAGTATAGGTTTTGCTAATTGTTGCAGGCTGCATGGAGGAATATTCTTTTCAGAATAATAATTTCAATTATGGTGTCCAACAGTGGTGTATGGTTTAATTCCACTATGTACTAAAGTTTGAATATGCCATATTAGCGCTTTTAGTTGGATCAGCTGGTGCCACTATGCACAATTATCAAATCATACCTGAAACTATCTGAAATGGTGTAATTTTCTTGTATACTAGTATTACAAGAAATGCTGATGTTGTTATAATGGCCTAGCAATGATGCAACATATATTTTTGAAGGCTGTACGGTTGCCTGTAATTGCTTACATCCACTTCATTTGAATTTTGGTGGATAGTTGTCTCATTGGCAATCATACCACATCTCCTTATTTTTATAATAATTACACATGTCTAATCTTTAATAAGCTATTAACACAACGTAATGTTTTGCCTATTTGTTATTTTGATAATGCAAATGTTACACTTAAAATAGTAATACTTTAACATGTAAGTGATATTCAAAGTCAATGAACCATGACTGAAGGTACAAGGCTAAACAATCTCTATGGAAATGAAAGGTGCCAATGCTTGTTCAACTGCAAACCAAATACCATTGACTTTTCATAAGTCGTTCCCTTTAAACAAACCTTAACACAAATTCAATTTCTAAGTCAATGAACCATAATGAGGGGGTGGGGTTATATAATATCCATGGAAATGAAACTTTTGAATACCAATACGTTCGCATACCAAATAGCTTTGACTTAAGATTACTGGTAATTTTAAACTGACATAATCATAATAATCACAAACTCATTCATGTAAACTAAGTAAAAGTTTCAAAGTCAATAGATCATGCATATGACTGAGGGGTGAGGACCAAATATCCTCTATGGAAATGAGACGTACTAATGCTTCTACACCTACATGCCAATTATCATTGACCTACCACTATTGGTTTCCCTAATACTAACCTAATCGAAAACTAATAAATGAAATTTCAAAGTAACATAAGTTTCCAAGTAAAAAGAGCATGATTGAGGGGGCGGGGCCAAATAATCTCAATGGAAATTAGAAATGAAAAAGTTTATACAACTGCACACCAAATATCATTGACCTACCACTAGTGGTTCCCCCTAAACTGACCTAATCACAAACATATACATGTAAACTATGCAAAGTTTCAAAGTCAATAGACCATGACTAAGGGGGTGGGGCCAAATATTCTCTATGGTAATGAGATGTGCCTATGCTAACACAACTACTTACAAAATGTCATTGACCTACCAGAAACCAGACCTTATCACAAAATCACAAACTAATACATTGTTGATTCCGCCAAAACAGCATGCCTATATATATATATATGTCTCACTTTTTGACTCTGTCAAGGCAAGACAAAAATTGCAACAAATTTAATACAAATATTTTGTCCATCTTTTTAATATTCTTCATTTCTTAGATATATCAATGCTGCGTTCACACATAATTCGAATTCGATTCACATTATTAACTGATTTGAATTAGTTTAATACGCATTCGAAACGTTTAATGTCCAAAAGTAAATTCTACTTGGAATTGCAATACACGTCAAAATCGCTTTACTGTGAATGCAGGGGTTCAAATTAACATTTGGTACTGGACAGCCCAGGACCTTTGACACTCCAAGCTGATTAAAGGTCCACAACCTAAATTCCAGGTCCTGCTT